CGGAAACAGACTCCACAACTCGGAAAGCTGTGAAGTCGGTGTGTTTATTGCAGCGCTGGGTGCACGGGGATCGCTCCACCACAGACGTGCACACCCGCCCTAGCAGTTTTCTTGTATTTATACAGACACACTCATCACCCCCTCCCCAAAAGGGCAGTCTGTCCCAGGAGATCATTTCCATAGCCCCCGCCTCAGGATCCTCCTCGACACGCCTCCTGGTGGTCGTGGGCAGGGGTCTTCAGGATGAAGGCCATAGGTCTTCCTCACTGTGTATTTTTCACTTCTTCCCTAGAATTCCTGTTTTGGCTGGGCTTGCAGAGCCAAACCGGTTCCCAGCCTGGCCTGTCCTTGAGTGGACATCTGGTTGTCTCCTGCTTGTTATTGTTTGAAGACAAATGTTAGTTCTTGCTAGTCCTTATCTCTCCCCTTTTTCTTTTCTTTCTCCCTAAGGGTCACGAGTTACAACCTTGCTCGCATTTGTTTTGTCTCTCTTACTGGCCTTCTTTTCGGGTAGTTAGTGTTTCAAAGCAGGGATTAGTATTTGATAACTTCTAACATTTCACAGAGCTAATATAGTCTTGTGCAGTCTTATGCCTATTCTTATAGCTATCCATAGAAACAACAGCTAATATAGTTTTATATGGTCTTATGCCTACTCCTATACCTATCCCCCTATCACTATGAAGAATGAGCAGGAAGAATTAGAAGATAAGTTGTCAGAAGAAGGCAATAAAAAAATGTATTTTATGGTACAACAAATTTAATTTCAGTATTTGTGTAGATATAAATGTGAAAACTTTGATAATGCAGATGTATATTTTCTGAACGTATATTTAATGAACGTGTTTTGTAAGTTACCAACTTCCATTCTTGCTTTAGCAGACATTTAAAAAAATCTTTTACAAACATTTTTAAGGCAAATTATGGAGTGGTCCTGAATGATGCATAGCTTACATTTTTCCCCCACTTCTTTCAAAAAATTGAGAAAATGGTAAAAGATGTTACAGTTTTGAAGTACTCGTGTTCAATCAAACAGGATCAGATAGACTGTACTCCTGTTCTACTCAGATGCAATAAGCTCTACTTTTTACCAGTTAAATTAAAGCTATTTATATGTGAGGACTAACTTGAGTATTTGTATTAACAAAGTATTTCAGTATTTGTTTTTGAGATTCTACAAAAAAACAGTAGTAATACTGAAAAAAAGGATTTAAAATATTGCTGCGTACTTTGTTTAGTCAGAGAATATAGTTAACGTAACTTTTAGTTCAGATAGATGGATTATTAAAAGTTACAAACTTCTGATTTCTTCAAGCTGGCACATAAATTAATTTTCTTACGGTGAGGGGGAGAACTAAATCTTACTAAATAAAACTTCAAGATATGAATGATTTCTGTGTTTTTCCAACTCAGGTGTTGAGATCCACAACATCTCAAAAAGCAGTATTTGAAAATACACCACTGTGTTTGCTTGTTATGTGTGTTAGAATTTCTGTAAACACAGTTGGAAGGTAGTGACTCGTAGGTTGACACATTTTTTCATTCATGTTGAGCGGTGGATTATGTGAAAGCAGAGTAGTTATTTTTGAGTTACGTAATAAGGACGAATCTATTTTGGCTTTTAAGAAGGGTTGAGCAATAAGTGATTTGGTCAGAAGTAATAAAAAATAAGACAGTAGTGGCATACCTTGCTGGGTAATAACTGTGCCTTCAAAATGTTGCATAGTAGTACAATTTACGAAAGTTTGTAGTGATGAACTCTCAATATAAAGCTTATGTCATCATCAAAAGATGGTGCGACCCAAATAGTACATCACAGCTCTCACATATTTTGTATATATGACTTATTGGGGGAAAAAAAAAAATGTCTTACTGTTTATGTTCTCAAGTGTCTTAGGTTTATTTTTCCTTTGTTTAATATGTGTTTATAATACCTCACTGTGAAATGTGTCAATTAAAAGGGTGTGCAGTGGTGTCTCCTGAAGGAAGAGGAAGTCATTCCCCGTATCAGAGCTATGGAAGGGCGTAGAGGACGACCACCAAATCCAGACAGACAGCACTCCAGAGAGGAGTCAAGAATGAGACGACGCAAAGGCCGGCCTCCGAACGTTGGTAGCACTGAATTTCTAGAAAATAGTGACGCAAAGCTTTTAAGAAAGCTCCAGGCTCAAGGTAAGTAGTATGTTACTGTTTTCACAAACAGAGGGTATCAGTACATAGAGAGTTAATGCTTTTTCTAAAGAGGAATGATGTGTTTCACTGGGATATTAGTATACAATGTTTTATTTTGGAAATTTGTCACATGCTTTTATGGAAGCCTTTTTCAAGATCGCTACATGTATATATGATTCAAAGGAAGAAGTGTGTGTGTAAATGCATGTCTGAGAGCTTTCTTTATAGTTACTTTATTTAGATTTATAAAATATAGAAAAGCAGACATCCAGCAATCTGGTTACCACTGATGTATTTCTTAAATTGGCAAAAATTAACAGATCTTTGTTTTCTCCTGTGTCAGCTCAGACAACAGTAGCCATAGAAATTGAAATTGAGAGCCACTGAAGTTAGCATTTCTTTGAAGCTTTTGGCTGTTGCAGGGAAACGCTTTTCTTGTGAAGTCCCTGACAGTGACAAGATTTCAATGCCCATAAGGTTGAGTAGGATCCTGTAATAAGTTGTACCAATGTCGACCACAGAACTTTCAAGATACCAAGTACTGCTGTTTGTCAAAGGCTGGAAGGCTTGGTTTTAAATAGGCATCAGGTACATGACTTCTGAATTTCAGTTCTTCAGTCCGTAACCATTATCATGTTTTCTGAATGCGTCTAATCCAACATGAAAAATTCTTACAGCCCAGGAGTCAGGATGTTGATTTAACTTAGACTTAACTATTCTTTCATGTGCTGACTGTGGACATGTTAGCTGCCTCCTATTTGGCACAGTGTCCTTGCTGACAGCATGTGTGCCTGTATTGTCTGCCACGCCGCAGTTCTTTGCGTCGCTTTCCCTTGTTGCCCGCGAAGAGTACCGTTCTGTGGGTTTGTTTAAGGCGTGCAATGGTGATGGTTCGGACACGGGGACAGAGAGGAGGCAGTTTTAGAAATGCTTTAGTCCGTGGTATGTCTCGTAGTGTTGCACAGCTGTTTTACCTGTGTGTTAAGATCACCACCACGTTTTGGTCAGTGTGTCAATAAGCAGGGGAGGTATTTAGGAGCACTCTCCCATGTCTGCCTTCCCACCACGCTCTGTAGCACTTAGTACAATTAACAAAACATGGTGTCTATACATACAAGAAGGTTCAGAATGTGTAATGTTTGATGTTACGTATGTTCATATCTACCTTGCTGCTTTTTTTTCCCCTCATGAGAATGTAAGAAATGTCTCAGTGGCTCAGCTGAGGAGTTCATCTAGTGCAGGGCTCTGTCTCCAGTAGTGGCCATAGGACGTTGCTTGGAGGAAATATCTGAACCTGATCACTTCTTGGTCTAATTATTTCCTGAAGTGTTTCATGAGTGGTGTTGCAGAGCACCTGTTTTCTTGCTCCATTTATTTTCCTTTTATGGAACTGTTGCCCATATTAGCCTGTTCTTTGTTTTTGACGTCCTAGCGATGTTTGCTCCACCAGCTTCCCGTGGCAATGACTTCCAGAAGTCTGCTAACTACTTGACCATTTTAATTTTTTAATCTTCTGTAACTGTCAGGGAGTGTTTCCTGGTTCCGTTATCGTTGGGTTTGGAGAATACAGTTCTCCAATCTATGTTACTCACCACCTTGATGATTTTGCAGGCCTTGGTGCTCTCTGTCCTTAGTCTTCTCCCCTCCAAACTTAAGAGCCCAAGTATTGTTAATCTTTTTGCAGAAAGTAGTTGTTCTATCCCTCTGATCCTCTTATGTATCCTGTAATTTTAGTATTTCTTTTTTTAGGTGTCTTACCTTACATTTATTTATGATGAAGCTCCTCTGCTTCCTTTGCCCACTGTTTTGCAGGGCTCTTCCAAAGTTCATTGCTGTCAGCACAGCCTTGGATTTTCCAGAATCTTCACCTTTTGGAATTTAACTTTGCAGTCCCCTTTACAGATTTCATTGATAAAAAAGGATATTAAATAAAGCTGGTTCTGATACTGATTTGTGAAGTAACCCTCTACTAACTACTCTTCATCACAAAAGGTGATTGCTGAGCTCTGCCCTTCCTTTGCTGTCATTTAAAGAGCTTTTAGTCTGTGAAGCTTTCCTTCAATGACGTAACAACTTAGTTTTATTAATAATGCTTGACTTAGAACCTGGTCAAATACTTTCTGACATTCCGAGCGCGTTATGTCTGTTAAGATTCTCTCTGTCTCCGTTACTTATACTCTCCTTGAAACCTGAAATGAGGCAGAATTTCCCTGTGTAGAAGCCATGCTGTCCGAACTGACGGTGTTTTATGACGTACTCAGTAAGTACATACAAGACATAATATGTACAGTAAGACTCTACCACCTCAACAGTAAACACCCAGACCCATGTCTCTATGGTTTCATGTTAGTGTTGCTTCAGGTTTCTCAGCTTACTCTGCCCCATCCTGGGCATACTAGTTAAATGGAAATGCAGGTAGCCTGATTTTTCATCCCTGTTTTTTGCAGTGTAGGTGTTTGTTTTGTCCTTCTCAGACGCACGCTGAACCGTTCAAGGCCAGGTTGGATGAGGCCCTGAGCAACCTGATCAAGTTGGAGATACCCCTGTTCCTTGCAGGGGGAGTAGACTAGATGACCTTTGAAGGTCCCTTCCAGCCCTAACCATTCTATGATTCTATGATTCACTACATCCTCCACATGGATTGTGTAAATTCAAACTACGTGATCCTCTGCAGCTGTTGGGCTTTCCATAGTTCATAGTTTAAGTTCTCCTCTATAATGTAAATTCCAATGTCCAGCTGATGGTTCTGTTTCAATTAAGGTGTAGCTTCTTCTTCCATATGGTTTCTCCTTGGCTCTGAAGGTTTCCCTGTTGTCATGTACCTATTTACACTACCCTTACTGTCTACAGCATCATCTTATCTATACATGGATTTTCCATATGTGTGTGTACATCTTGGTCATTGCACCAGAAACTGACAGTATTTTTGGAGAATGGTATCAAAGCTGTCTTGCATCAGTGTGTCCATGCACAGTTCATCCAAATTTCATAACTGTTTTCCCTTAGTGATAGAACGCTTCCGGAAGTTACTAATTAGCGGAAGAGTATCTGGCTGTAGGTAGCCACAGTAAAGAGAAGTGTGACTCAGATGATTGTGTTCTGACTGCATTGTTAAACAAGGATTAGATAATTACATGAGGTGATTTATATGAAAAACAGTAATTCTGTGTGTTCTCAGTAAAACGTTGATTTTGTACTCTCAGGCAAATGTTTTCTGCTGTAAAAAGAGAGAAGAAATCAGTTTTTAAATGAAGGGGCATTATTGACCTGATGCTATCACTTAATTTTTTCCTCCAAAAATAGTGTTTTATGTAGAAAGTATCCATGTTCATTTGCACTGTTGTAGTTACTGATACATGAGGTATCACTGAAGGTAGTTGATAGCGAAATGTTGTGAAGATAAATGTGTGCAAAACAAATCCACTGTTTTCTTTATCTTTACCACATGCAAATGTCTGCAATATGACATGTATCTTTATTGTTGGATAGCATTGTTTTTATGAACTTATTATTTTCTTTTTGTGACAGAAATAGCTAGGCAAGCAGCACAAATAAAGCTACTGAGAAAAATCCAGAAGCAGGAACAAGCTCGAGCTGCTAAAGAAGCGAAAAAACAGCAAGGTAAGTATTACTTGAGAAAGTTTGTGCGTGCTAGCAGGTTATTTTGAGAAGTGTTAATGAAGAGTTAACTGCCTCTTGTCATGCTCTGCTAATTTTTTGTTTTCTTTTGTTTGTAAGCGATTATGGCAGCTGAAGAAAAGCGAAAGCAAAAGGAGCAGATAAAGATAATGAAGCAGCAGGTAAACTTTATGTGATTGCTAAATAAGATCTTTAAATTACATTTTGAATTAGGGGTATTTTAATTATTTAGTAAATTAAGTATACTGATTACTGATTACAAAGTGAATGTTTTAAATCTAGTTTTAAAGAGCACATAGTGTGTATTATTCAGAAGTCTAAACTAGTTTTTTGCATGTTGTCAGGACGTCGCAATTTTGTCTATGTTGATTTAAGCCACACAGCATATTTAATTACTTGCCAATATCAGTAAGAAATTTAAAAGCTGCTACTAAAATACAGTGATGCGATATTCCTTTATTTGGTTCCGTGAAGACAAGCAGTGTCATATCTGTTTATGTAAATACTATAGTGGTGTAATCAGCTGCTTCTGTGGTTCTGGCTGGTGGTCAGTGGTTTTAGGATGCGTGCGAAGGTTTGTATCTCAGTGTGCCAGTGAATTAATACGTGATTTTAAATACACGAGTATTGTTAAATACTGTCACAGCAAATATATCCAATAGAAGTGAGCCCATATAACTTTTCCAAATGAAGCTACTTACGGAAGCAGGCTTTTAAATTTTTGAACAAGTGATTTTAACAAATGAGTGAAGTGAGTACTATAGTAGTAGAAGCTTTCACCCTACGATCTATGAGTTAAACTTGGAAGGGCTGAGAGAGCTGGGACTGTTCAGCCTGGAGAAGAGAAGGCTCAGGGGGACCTCACAATGTGTATAAATACCTGGAGGGAGGGTACAAGGAGGATGGAGTGAGGCTCTTCTCAGAGGTGCCCAGCGACAGGACAAGAGGCAACAGGCACAAACTGAAACACAGGAGGTTCCCTCTGAGCATCAGGAAACACTTTGTCACTGTGATGGAGTGAGATGACTGAGAACTGGAACGGGTGAGCCAGGGAGGTTGTGGAGTTGCCCACCTTAGAGATTTTCAAAAGCTGTCTGGACACGGTCCTGGGTAATTGGCTCTGGGTGACCCTTCTTGAGCAGGGGGTGTTTGAACAAGGTGACCTCCAGAGGTCCCTTCCAACCTCAACCATTCTGAACTTTTGCAGATAGTTACAGCTTCAAAGTTTCCACTTCTGAAGGCAACCCATACTTGTTAAAGAGAAGCAAATAATGCAGTTTTTTTGTGGTGTTTTTTCTTTGTGGTTGGTTTTTTTTTTAGTGTTGTGGGGGTTTTTTTTAGTGTTGTGGGGTTTTTTTCAGTTTTGTTTTTTTTTTTTTTTTTGAGAGAGAGCATGGAACTTGGATCCATTCACATCACCCTATGGTTATAAAGTGGTCTTTAAATTCTTAGGTGTGTAGGGAGCCATAATTGCTAAATTGACAAATACATCAAACCTGCAGACCTTGTTTATCATCACCATATTCCTTCTTGATGTATAAACTGATAAAATTTTCATAATTCCAATGTGTAGAATACTTCTTCTCTGAGATACTTCTTTACTCTTAGCTCTACTGAAAAGTTTGTTCTGTAATAACTCTAGCCTTTGTGGAATTGAGAGGGTATGCTACGTACTCTCGACTTCAGTACAGTTTTGTTTGTGAAGGCTAGTGGGGGATAATAGAGATTTAAGGTTCAAGCTTTGCATGTTGAAAATAAAAGTTCAACACTGTGTAAACAAGAGCCTGGAGTTAATTTGCTGGATAAGGTAGTCTTATGCTGGACTTCTGAACAACTTAATGAGCTGGTAAGATTTGCCTGAAGTTTGTAAGACCTCATCAGGTCTTCTTGTATTAGAGCTTTGTTCTTCATGAAACTTTGTATTTTTGTTCTGTGATTGCTCCTTTTCTGTTAAATATTATAGATTATCTTTTCTTAGGGGCTTGGTTTTGCTTTTAGTTACTATTTTTCAATAAAGTATGTACATCACTATGTGTTCTTTAGAAAGTAAAATTTTAGAGGAATTTTTAATATAAGCTTAGGTTTTTACTGTTTAACAGGCAAAACCCATACACCACAGGAAATGTGAAGGAATACCAAAGTTTGTGATGACTGCATTTCTAAAGCAATGTAATAAGACTTCATTCAGATTTTAAGAACCAATTCCTGAATAAGAATAAAGTAGAATATGGTTACACAGCACCCGTCTATGGAGTGCTTAGCTTGATCATTTTCTTCTTACCATGACAAAATGTGCTGGAATGCATTGTACTGCCCGTGGCTGCTGTTTCAGTTACTTTTTTTGGTTATTTCACTCTTCAGCATGTGTAAAACTCAGTCTCCTAAACTATCTGTTAAGGCATCCACACTCATCATCAATTACCTGAATGCTTTAAAAATGTAGAGGATCTGCAGTGTGCTTACCCGTGCCCGTATTACCCAGGTTTGGTGTGACAAGTGTGTGTGCTTTGCTTTCACAGTACTCAGGGGCTCCACGTTGCTCATGGTGCCGTAGTGAACTGGAAGGCTGCCAGAACCAAGACAGAAAATAGTGGTTTGACAGAACCCTGTATTTCTTATTCAGGGAGATCACATCAAAACATGATGTTTTTCATTTCATAGCTCCCATTTCCATTCGTTCCACCATTGCCAGCTAGAATTTGAATGCTGCTAGCTTTCTTATATCAGTATTAATCTGATCTCCTTAAAGCTATTAAAAAAAAAAACCAAACACTACGACAACTTAAACATGAGCACCTATGCACACCTAAGTGGTAGTTCCTTCAGGGATATACCAGACTTCTAGTAAAAATTCTACACATACATTGCTATATGGCAACAATTGACTACAATGGGTGTGAGGCTCAATAACAAAAACTATAGGTGTATAAATTTGGCCCTTTTTTAAAATGTAAATTTACTTTCTCAATATTGGTTTGTTTTTTTTTTTTAAAGAAATAACTTTCTTCCCTTTGTAGGAAAAAATTAAGAGAATCCAGCAAATCAGAATGGAGAAAGAACTTCGAGCTCAGCAAATTTTAGAGGTAAAAATAATGGCTTAGATATAATTTTTGTGTTGCCATTTTAAACAATATTGTATTTTAATAGTCACACATGCAGTTAGGAATGTGACTAAATATAACAGCTCTAACAACGTGGACTTCCAAAGGCCAGTTTAAAAACGTCTTACTATACTTTTAAAAAAAATTCTATGTAATTGGAGCACAGGTTTTGGAAATGTTCACTTGAGTTCCTGTCTTTCTACACAAATAGTCTTGTATTTGCTAAAGTTAACAGCATAACTATTCCTGTGTTAGAAACCAAGTTTGCAGTAACAGGATGTTAAAGCAGCATCATGCTCTGCTCGTATGAAAATGCCGAGTTTCGGTACGTGCCAGAACGCACTGGTGTGCCATAGGGTTCTAGCAAAGACAGACCGCTCGGTTTTAAGTCTCCATTCATGGAAAAGTTAATGGGTATCTCTGCTGTTTGTATGTTATTGTTTCTGTGTGTACTTACTTTCTTAGTTACAATAGCCAGGTGAAGCAATTTTGGCTGAGACTTAAAATTCTGGCTTAATTTTCTAAAAGTAAATGAACTGTGAATTGATTGACAATGAAAGCTGCATTGGGGAAGAACTCTTGCGATGTATGCTCTATGTGATGATGTTTTGAACTTTTAAAGGCACATAACTTTGTTTCTAGTAAGATTATTTTCAAGTTGTGATGGTGCTGTTGTGTGACCTGTTTTGCATGCACAGGCAAAAAAGAAAAAGAAGGAAGAAGCAGCAAATGCCAAATTATTGGAGGCCGAAAAACGAATAAAGGTTAGTTTAGAGGAGCTCCAGGAACAAGAACTGTGTTATTGTGCATAATATATGTTGATGTATAAAAGGAGTAAATTTAGAAGAATGTTCATTGATAATGAAACAGTAAATAGAGATGGCATATGATCTTTGAGGTCCCTTCCAATCCTAACCGTTGTATGATTCTATGTTTGTGTGAGTACATGCAGCATACACGGAAGTTTGCGTATGTGTGACGTGCAAACACACACAGTCATACCTACACACATGAATATAGAGAGACAGAAATTTTTTGTGTGCTGTTACCATGAGTTTTGTTTACATGACGCTTGGTTTGTGTAACTTAAAATGCTTGTGCAGTAACATTATTCACAACATTTTTAAGCACACTGTATCAAAAAACTTTGTTACGTCTCAGCAAGCTAGTCTTTTCTAGGCTGTGTATACACAAGACTACAGAACTCTTTCACAAACATTGGAAAACACAGTTTATATGTGTGCTCCTGTTGCTGCTTTGGCATTCGTGGTGTGTTTTAACATGGAACTCCCAACTCGACAGGCTTGCTGTCATGTGTGCTATGCATACTTCTCTGTAGTCAGTTATGGGGGCAGGGAAGTTAGAATTTAGTTCAGATGTGCTGTTTTAGTGTGGCAAAAATGTGCAACTTGATTAGTACATTTCGATATTTCAAATACATTTTTGTTCTTTTGTTTAAGGAAAAAGAGATGCGAAGGCAGCAGGCTGTCCTTCTGAAACACCAGGTTGGTGTACCTTCAGTTGACAAGACAGAATGCCAGTTGTGAACTACTAAAGCTGTACGGGGGTGGGGGGAATCTTCAAAATATGCCCTTTTTAAATTTCTGGGTTTGATTCCTGCACAAATTTTCTTTCACCTTATGATTTGTTGCTTTGCTTTGGTATTGGGGTCTTCTGGGGGATTATAAAGTGGTTTTATGACTTTGTGATTTCTGTTTCATAATGTTGTGCCAACTCTTTCTACCAGGAGTTGGAGAGGCATAGACTAGATATGGTATGGGTATGTTTATTTTTGTACATCTAACACCGCATTGTGATTTGGTTGTGATATGGTTGTCATAGCAATGCATAAAATGTAGCACTGGCTGCTGTCATATTACATACTGCTGCATGGCTTTACAGCACAGTGCATTGCATACATCTGCTTGTCTTGTCTGTTAAGGAAAAAAAAAGACATGTCTTGAACATGTGTGTAAATTGAACATGACAATAAATAAATGAGGTTTTTAACTAGAAATCTTTGTTACTGATGTCCCCATAGAAATTGGGCTACAGTATAAAATCAGGGATGAATAATGCAAAATTAATAGGTAGTCACTTGGATACTTTTTCCAAGCCTTGTTCCATTTACTGGGAATGAATCCAGACATTTGAAATACAATTTGAGTTAACCTATTTTAGAAATCAGGATGATGTCTTTCCTAAGTTTGTGAGGTACTGAGGAAATTAGCTTTCAGTCGGTGGTAAATACGTAATGTTACAAGTATACAGTGAAACATTCGAGTGTGATCCTATGCTCACTGAATTAGATGATAAAATTCCCACAGCCTTTACTGGGGCAAAGATTTATTCTACAGCTTTTAAGGCAAAACCCCCATACTTAATGCTCTATGATACAGCTCCTTAATGCATTTCAGGTTACTGACCTAATGTATTGAGGGACAGGCATCAGTAAATGCAAGTGGTGTTGCGTATGTATATGCGACATCACTGTCTTGATTAAAACTGATCTAGAGCTGAGAAAATTAATGATAATAATTTGTTGCTTGGTTACAAAAATATTAAGATTTGCAATGTTTGAAAATAACCAGTTTAAAATTTCTGCTGAATTGGCTATGGCCAATATGGCTAATTTATTGGCTAAGTAAATTACGAGTTCCGTAATAGCAGATGTAAGGTAACTGACCTGTTCCAGCCAACCATTATGCTTTTTGTTCTGCCAGCTTATGAAGGAGCATCACAACTGACCATAAGTAAATCTGTTTGCTTCTTTTTTACACTGTCTCCATATTCATTGCTTTACCTTTTTGCTTTCGATTGTTCTTGTATTTGCTTTCTAAACCTGAACTAAAACATGCACAGACTTGGCCATTCTTGTCCTATATTTAGTATTTACTGTGACTTGTCTATTAATGCTAAATTTGTTACTCAGCTTTTTTACTGATTCGAAAATGTGGATTAGTTTTGTTCTAATCTTACCTGCTTCAATAGGAACGAGAAAGGAGGAGACAACATATGATGCTTATGAAAGCCATGGAAGCACGTAAAAAAGCAGAAGTGAGTATTAATTTCTGAAAGTTTGACGTTTTCATGGTTTCGCTCTGCAGCAGTCTGTAGAAGAGCAGTGTCTGTGTGCCTGTATGTGTGATTTCATTTGTGTCCATGGCAGTGGCAGGACGAGAAGCAATAGGCACAAAGGGAAATACAGGAAATTCTGTTTAAACTTAAGCAAAACTTTTTTACCGTGAGGGTGGTGGTTGAACACTGGCACAGATTGCCCAGGTAGGTTTTGGAGTCGCAACCTGCTGTAGCTGATACTGCTGGCGGGGGGACGATGGTGGGCACAGGACACACACAGGGATGAGGGCTGGATGATCTCAAGAGGTCTTTTCCGTCCTCAGTGATTCTGAGCAAGAAGGCAATAATTGTACAGTCAATTCAGAGTCCTTAGTATTTCCTGGGAAGGAAGTTCTATTTTCTCTTCTTCACTTTGTTCATGTGTATAAGAAGAGTAAAGACTGCATCATACTGGCTTGTCAGACTTGCTGAGCAACAGGTTTTCCTCAATACTTACCCAGGGCTAAAAATACACATCTTATTTGAGTCCGGGCTTCTTAGAACATGCAGATTTTGTAGATAATTCTAGATTTGGACCATGACAAAACCAAACAAATAGGATTGTTATGCCTCAATAGTTTTATTTTTGCTCCTGCAGTAGAAAGTATTGCTGTGCTACAGAAAATAGATGCTTCATTTAGTAAAAATATGTCAGAAATTCTGAATCAAGAGATAGAGAAACCTTACGTCCTAAATGTGTATGTGTCATTTTGTGTGCAATCATTTTACTTTATCCAGCTCTGAATCTAGTTCTTTAACTAGTTTTCTTTTTTGAACGCAATGACATTAAACAAAATGGTTAATGTCATTTTTTTGTCATTGTTTAATGTCATTGTTTAAACAAAATTAACATAAACCTGGTTGATTTCACTTTCTAAAATTTCAGACTTCTTTTGATGCTGATCATCTAAACATCTAGATTTTTTTGTTCTCTTTTGTTTCTGAAAATAAGACTATTTTCAAAACAGCTGCCCTTTCCTTATGATGTATACTACTTATTCTGGTTGCTTCTTTCATTTATATAAATCTGTTATATCACAACAGGACCTAATAACAGTTTTTTATTATGAGGATTAATACTAAAGATTAAATACACATTCTGTGCTATTGAATTGGGTGTTTGTTGGGCAACTGAATTAAACTATTCCTTTTAAAGTACTGCATAATGAAAATTATTTTCATTATTCAAATGATTACTTTGCTTACAAGTTAAGGAACTCCAGATTGGTTATTTAGATGGGGGGAAAAATATTCAAGAAACACTGGTAGTCTGTTCAGCCTAATCCAAAATCCATCCAAATATTTTCATTGAGTTGACTAATCAGGCTTTTAACTAGTGAAATTTTGCTTTTAGCCATACTATCACATGAAAGACACTGAAGTTTCCCTGCTCTTAAACTCATTTAATAGTGTTTTTGTAATAGATCTTGTTCTTATAACCAGTTGAGAGGTCTCAGTTCCATTAGAAGGGTGCAGAAGGAAACGAGGGAGAAGTGGTTAGCTTTGCCTTGGAAAGCCGCTGTAACCACGTTGCTTTTGTTCAGCTCCGAGATAGGTTGAGAAAAAGCCTCTCTTACAGGAATACCACGTCCTGCTTATTTAGGTTATACTGCAGTAAGTGAAATGTTACTACCTAAAACAGCTCAAAACTATTTTAGCTTCATAGGTTTGAAGTAATACAGTAGTTTCTGTTGCATTATAGATGGTTAAAAAAAAAGTAAAACAAAGTACCTGATTAAATAGCATTGGTGATAAAACCAGAGCTGTACAATATGATTGATGAAACTTTTATTAGACCATGAGAAACTAATTTACATCTTAATCCTGAGATTGTCATCTTTTAGCCCTGATATTATCTTAAGGAGGACTGTCAATGTCAAAACATAATTACTCACTTTTTAATTTTACTTTTTATATATTTCTCTGTATCCTGAGACTTTTAAAATCTCTGTATCCTGAGAATTTTATAAATAAAGTGCAGATAGCTAAGTAATTGAAGTAAAATAACCATCATTATAGCATCTAATTGTCAAAGAAATTTTTAAAATTTTTCTCTTAGATGTGTTTGTAAATTTAAATGAAAGTGATAGACTAGAAGAAAATAAAATTCAGTAATACTTCAGCGCAAGGAAGAATTTCAGAGTTAACTCTTAAGCCGACTAGGGAGGGTGTCCTCCTATATTTATTGTTTGTGAACACAGAGAAGGTGTAGTGGGCAAAGTGGTGATTGGTGGCTGTCTTGGTCCTAGCAACTATGAAAAGAGAAAAACAGTAGATGCTTGGCTTCTCACTTCTTATCCCTGTGTTTTTGTTGTACAGAATAAGATACTAATGACTGTTCAGTTTTCAGATTGCATGCTAAGTGCATGGCAGTTCAAGGCCAGAAGCTGTGTGTGTTAAAAAGATCAGCTGTGTGTTATGAGCTGCTCATACCCAGTTTATTTATTATGGGAATTTTGAAGCCATATGTTGTCCAGAGAGGCCTTTCCAGCTACTCCTTTCTTGAGTGGTCTGCTTCAGCAGATGCATTTCGATGGTAATAGTGTGTAAGCAGGGCCTTTGAAATCAGATGCCTTGCGTGTATGGCAGTTCTTTGCTATGGTAATTATGAAGATTACCTAAGTAGTGCTTTTCAAATTCTTAGGTTGTTCCATTTTAAGTATTGAACGTAGGTTTTATTTTCTGCCCTTTTAATTTATTTAAGGAAAAAGAGCAGTTAAAGCAAGAGAAACGCGATGAAAAAAGATTAAATAAAGAACGTAAATTGGAACAGCGAAGATTGGAATTAGAAATGGCAAAGGAGCTAAAGAAACCTAATGAAGATATGTGCTTAGCAGACCAGAAGGTAATCATAATAATGTAAACTTATTTTCTTACCTCTTGTTCCTGTATTTCGCCATTGTGACGATAACTTTTTTTCTCGCAGCCACTCCGAATCGTTCAAGTTTTGGTCTACATAATCAAATATAGAAGATACTACAAACACTAAAGTAGCATATGTTTAGTTAATTAAAAGTATTTTGTTTAGAAGTGGCCGGCTTCCCAAAAAGCACTTGCTTGATTGCTTCAAAAAAAATTTGATTACTCTTGAGTTATTTTTACAGCAGGAGCATGCATCATGTCTCAGTACGCAAGCACTAGGTAGAGCTTTTCTCATATGTGCAACTATTCTAAGCTGTTACTCAAAAAAATTACTCTCCCAGCCTTCTGTGTTCTTAGTTCTTGTCCTTCAGGACTTGGCATACCTCAGGTTCAAGCCCTCTCTGTTCCAGAGTATTCCCCTCCCTGTGTCCCCCAAATATTTTCACACCACCATTTATAGTATTTTGGCTCAGAATAGAGCCTGAGTTGTCTCCTGGCCAAAAAGTACGTCTTTATTAATCTCTTGCCTCCTATAATACGTGAAAAGGTAAATATGCTTCAGCTTTAAATTAGATTTACTGGATGGGATGTGAGGGAGCTGCTTTTCTGTAGCCTTACCTTCTAGCATTGCCATGCTGTAGTTTATATGGAAGCATCAGCCAATTTCCCTAGCTGGTATCGAAAAAGGTTTTTTTCTTAAATAAACTACTGGTTCTTTCATTGTTTTTCTTTACTTTCCAGCCTTTGCCAGAGTTGCCACGCATCCCAGGCCTTGTTCTCGATGGAAGCACGTTTTCAGATTGTCTCATGGTAGTGCAGTTCCTGCGTAACTTTGGTAAAGTTCTTGGCTTTGATGTGAATGTGGATGTCCCTTCCCTGAGCGTTCTTCAAGAGGGTTTGCTAAACATAGGGGACAGCATGGGAGAAGTACAAGACTTGCTCGTAAAGCTTGTCTCTGCAGCTGTTTGTGATCCAGGACTCCTTACAGGATACAAGGTAAAAAAAAGAAAGAACGAAAAAAAAATCCATAGTAAACACCCTATATTTATGAATGCATTCTTCATAATGTGTCTTTGGCACCTCCCTGATTTGGGTTTTCATTCTCTTTCCCAGTTCTTCTCTGTGGTGCCACTGTTCTTTGTTTCTGTGTCCTATCAGGCTTTCCGTTTTCCAGAAGCGATACATTTCTGTGCACTTTCTCTACCCTCCCCTGTTGCTGTTTGGCCCTCTTGTAGGATGCTGCTGCATCTGTGGCCATGTCTTTTAACTGCTTCCCCACCCCCCCGCGTTCTTTCCCTCATGTTATACTCTCACTGAATCTTGCCCTGTCTTTCTTCAAAGTCTGCTTTCTGCATCACTTCATCCAAACTTATTGATTCATGATTCTTTCTTAGTATCGTTCTTTTTCACTGCAACATAGCTCTTTTCTACTCTAGAACTCTACATAGTGTGATTATAGAAAACAGGATTCATCAGGTTCCAGTTGGACTGTGTCTTTTTTCATTTAATCTATTTCATTAGTATTATCTCCATCTTTAAAACTTAAAGATTAAGACATTCTAATTTGTTACTCTGCTTACGATTTACATTTGAATAGTTTGAAAGAAAAATCCTGGTTAAAGTTCCTTATGTAAAAATGCAATCAGACCCACCCCACTGCTTTACAAACAATAATATAGCCTGCAGAGGAAAATAATATTTTAGAGTGTGATTGTTCGAAACGTCTTTATTCTTTTTAGGCTAAAACTATTCTTGGGGAACACTTGCTGAACGTTGGTATCAATCGAGATAATGTGTCTGAGATTCTACAGATATTCATGGAGGCTCAGTGTGGGCAAACTGAGCTGACAGAGAGCTTGAAGACAAAAGCTTTTCAGGCACATACTCCAGCTCAGAAGGCATCAGTACTTGCTTTTCTTGTCAATGAGTTAGCGTGCAGCAAAAGCGTAGTAAGGTAAGACTTTTTCCTAACAGGTCTGTAAAAAAAATATTATAAAAATGTTAAAAATACTGTATACACTGTGTTCTGTTACAGGATGATTCTTGATCTTATAATAAAAGCTGAAGTTTGCTATGTTACTGCTTCTTACCTTTATGTACTTCTGATATGATGGAAGAGTAGAACTTTTCCATGTTTGGTCTTTTAAGTTTGTTTTCAAAGCTTGCACCAAAATTTCTTCAGCTATTTTTGGAGTAAAAGATGAGGTTGATTACAAAGAAATTTACTAGATATTCTAGGGAATAATTTAGAAGAGTTGTATAAGGCTTCTGCAGTACTTTTTTTTTTTTTTTTCCTTTTTTAAGACTTATTTTGTCCAAATACTTTAACGAGGGTCATAAGCTGAGGTTCCAAGTCGGATTTATCGTGGTAGCAATTCAAGAAAGTGTGTACTTCCTTTGTGGTCAGTAACGTGTGTAATTTTGTAATTACAAAAACCCCTATGTTAAACAACAATGTGAAATAAAAACTTAGGAAATGCTGGTCTTTGGGATACATGTACTCTACATACTTACTGTGGTAAGTTTTTATCACCTAATTGAGTGCTGGTTTATATCTTGGTGGATACTGCTGCTTTTGGTACACCGTGCTGGAAAAGTGAATCAGGGTTGTGTAAGGCAAGAGTGCAAGAGATGCCTCATGTTTTCCAAAGTTGAAAAATAGCTGAAGTGGGAAGTGCAAGTGCTGTGCGTGTGCTGTGCAAGAGTTCATGTGTATTAATAAATTCATCATAGTAAGAAGCTTTATCTTATTGCAGATGACCAAGTGTTAAGTCAGATTTGTAGAAATGATCATTCAGAACTTGACTTTTTGTATTTTCGTCGTAGAAACAGCTATAACCTGCTAAATTGTTGAGACTGGGATGTCTCAGAAGTGGAGTTACAGAGGTCGCTGTACTGAAACGCTTTTTTTTGTTCTTTAATTTCTAGAGTGAAAAGTGAATGTCGGTTTGTAGATGACATGGATCCTTGTTAGAATGCCATAGATGTACCAGCCATAACTTTGTTTTCAGTGCAGGGCTAGATTCTTTGTTGCAAATACGTCTGGAGGCTTGCCATTTCCTTAGAACTATGGAAAGAAATGTGAAATTCTTTGAATGACATGCTTTTTGTGGAAAGAAAGCTTATGTGATACTGTAAAGAAAGATTGCCTGACATAGGTACAGCAGTACGCTACATCAGCATTCCTAGTATTGGAATTTCCTAGCTCTAAAATTATTTGGTTTGAATTTAAAACGTTTCTCCAAGATAGTTCTTTGAGACAAAATATCTGTACGTTGGTCAGAAAAAGATCTGTAAGTTAATAGATTATTTTGTCTTTGACAGTGAAATTGATAAAAACATTGATTATATGTCAAACTTAAGGAGAGATAAATGGATGGTTGAAGGCAAACTTCGGAAGTAAGTTTCGTTTCCTTAAATATTACAATATATTGCTTTTTGGCATTTGCTCAGTTATGCCGGTGTGTAGGCAATTGATATTAAGGAGGCAATTAGCCAAAACAATCACAGGGTAACAAAGAAGTTAGTAACCAAACTACTCAATTAAGATGGGTGTGGATTTAGAATGGCACAGCACCGCTCTTTTACGGTCTATTAAAGAGGCACGAGATTCAGAGGGTTAGTGTCTCTCTAAATTGGAGTAAAGTCAAGACAATTTTTTATTCTTTGGAAGAATGTAAAAATTTTTTTATTGGAATATTACAGGAACTGTCAAATAGCCATTGGACATTTTCAAAGTTTATTTGGACCTACCATAATTGCCAATGTTCGTTCTGAAAGACATTTGAAGATGACATGATTTTCATACAACTCTCAATCGAATTTTGCTAAAATATTATGTTATCGTAGTGTTTCCCATCTGTCAATGTTATGTTGTTCCCTATAGCGAGGGATCGTATGTAGAATGCAACCTTTGAGATATTTTTTATATTTTTATTTAAGGTAAAATTGAAGCTTTTTAAGACTTGTCAGTTTCATATCCACTGTTCTCCCATCCTACAAGACAAAATTCCATACAGCAAAGCATAACGGCTCCAGCTACCAGGAAGCTAGAAGGCATAACGTTCATGAATCACAGGGGGTAAAAATACATAGCCAGACTCTACTTTCCTTTTTTTCCCAGTCATCTTTACCTCTTACTAGGAATGGTGAATCCTTTCTTAGTCCTTGCTTTAGGTACTTGTGTTTCTAATTTTATGTCTCCCTTTTTTCCCTTTAATGTATCTCAGAAGGAAGAAGGAAAGAAGTAAAGAAGAAGGACAAGAGGGAGGTAGAGGAATAAAATAGACTAATAAAAAGAAATTCACTACTAATATTGCAGATCCCAGTCTGCACAGGGTTAATATATTTTTATCTTTTAGGATAATCCAAATACCTTTTCCTGTCCTCCTCTGTACCCTTCTATGGGATATAGTTTAAAAAGTGTTTCTGAAGTTTTGATGTAGCCAAATGTTCGTTAGTGGAATGGGACCCTTGCCTGTCCTTGTCTCCTTAGGGACTGCTTAGTCTTCCTCTCCCTCCATCAAACTGTAAGTACTTGTAGATGTAGGATCCTCCCTTTTCCTCATGATCTCTCTTTTCTTCCCTTTCAAATAGTGGCCATAATATCCTGAAGTCCCAAGCTGCTCTTCCTTTCTACTTTCATTTTTCTATTTCTTGTGTTTTCCCCTTGTGTGGATTTCAGGTTCCAGTAGTGCTGTCCCTATTTTCAAGCGTAAGTATCGTGGAAGTGCTCAGAAATGTTCTTCTGCTTCTTTATATTCACTGGACTTGATTCATCTCTCTCATCTTTGGTTTAAAATCTTTGGATTTTCCAGTGTTTCTGATGAACTCTCAAGAAGCTTTTTAGAAGAGTCATCTTTGATCAGTTTTAAACAATCTTTATTATGTCAGTTGGTGTTTTTCATAAACTCTTACAACTGTTCTGGGTCTTCTCTCAAAAGAAAACTGTCTATCTCTGTCTTCAATTTGGTCTTTTTTTTCTGCTTCCAGACTTCATTCTTATGCATGTTATCTTTCTCATCCATTTCAAAGCTCAATCTAGTTTTTAAGCATCCCAGTCCCAAACAGTTTTGCATAGGCATATCTGGTTTCGTGACTACTCGCCATGCGGTCAGCGGATGTGGACTCTTTTCATATGCAGACAGATCTTTACGTGACCCCCAGGACAGGCCGTCACGCGCGGGAAGTGTACAGTGGTAGGATAACGGATACTGAGGAACGGGTTTGTTTCATCTCTGCCTGGTTTGCCAGTGTTTGTTGTGGAAATCTTCATACCACTATGTCCAGGCTGTCTTGAAGTATATCCAAGTGGGATGAGAAAAGATTCTACCTGTATCAAATGTTTTCATTAAGTGATTTTTAATTTTTTTTTACTTACGTTCTCGCTTTTTATGAGATTAGCTTCTCAAGTGGATATTGGGAGTGGGGGACAAAAAAATAATATGAAAACCTGTAAGATACAAAAAAGCAACATTAAAATCCCAGATTGGAAAAAAGAATCATTGTATAAAAGCCTATCAGGATGCTTTTTTGGGTTTTTTTTGGTTTTTTTTGTTTTGTTTTGTTTTTTTCTTTACCCCCTCCTCCCTCTTAAGGATATGTATGTATGCGCACTCACACGCACACACACATATATATGATTGAAAACTGAATTCTGAGTTGCCTCGACTGTTTCTGCTGGGCTGGTGGTCAGTGAGAGGTTGCATCTAATTCCCTCTCTGTCACATTTAGATGTGAATCTTGATCCTGGTCACCATTTTTGTAAAGACGCCTGTCTCATACGATCAGTTAATCTCTCTGTGCTTTCTGTGTCGCTATAGTCAGAAGACTGTCTCACCTGAGATGATTCAGCTATTTTTTAACTAGATAATCGTGATCTCGGCATCTCCTTTTCCATTACACATCTTCTCCTTGGCATCTCTTTTGTACCTTGATAAATGTGAAAGGGAATAAAAATGAAATGCAGCTGCTTGAAGGATTGGCTCATATCTGTTCCTTTACAAGACGTGAAATACGGCAGAACAAGGTTTTTCACTGCGAGGATGTTCTTTTTAACATGCCGGTGTTATGGCATACTACTTGTAAGTTAATTTCTGTCCAGTGAGGCCATCTCAGCTGTAAATGATGATGGTGTATCAAAAGCAGTGTTACATGAGGGGACAAATTTCACCGAGTTTGGGTAGGAGGTGGTAATACTGAACTGGGAAACTTTTGGTTTTTTGAGACCTAAGCTCTGAAGTATTTTAAAACTACGATGTTGAGAATTTCTTTGCCTTACTACTACTTAATATTTATGTGCAAAAATTAGGAGGAAGACATGAAAATTAAGTAAAAAAGGTGAATTTTCCTTCTATGATCTAGTAAACATTACAGATTGGCTTAGAGCAGGCTTAAGTCATGCATCTGATTATCTGATGGGCCACCCTCTCTTTTTGTAGGCCGATAGACTTTATAATTTGCTCCTCTGTTGCAGATGTCATTTTGGTATATACCTGAAAGTGAGAAGCAGTTTTCTAAGTGCAGGTTTTCTGCTCTCAGTGAGCCATATGTCTAGGTAGCAGCAGGAAAATTATGCTATCTCTTGAAATACCTGAACATTTTTAAAACTATGCTCTCATTGGTTTCTGCCTGTGTGCCACTTTGGATACAGGCTGCTGCCTCCTTATGCTTATGGTGCTATTAAAAAAGAGCCTCTTGGATTCATTTCCATCCTTACAATTTGTAGCGTCATGCAGGCTTCCTTTAGTGCTTGACAGCATTGTATCTCTATTTTTGCTTTCAGCAAAAGTAGCCTTTTTTGCATCTTCTCATTTCTTTTAGGTGTATGAAAGAGGTGTTTACTGGTCATGGAACTTCGTCTCTCAGCTTTATTATTGAATGGTCTTCAAGATTATCTTAGTATGTTTTGTCTCTAAAATTGTCCAGTCACACAGCAGTCAATCCAGTCATTGACTAGTAGCTTTGTTTGACAGTTAATTCCTGTGTATAGGCAGGAATTTCCAGTCCAGATGAAGAGGATTTGATGCTTTGAAGTTATTGTCGTAAAAAGGAATTTTTTTTGTAAGAAACTTAACTCAGTGGAAGCCTGAGTAGTATTGATACTCAGTGAGACTAAGGCATTTTGCACTGGACCTGAAAATATTACTTTGCTTTCTTATTCACTGAGAGGCATTTTTTTCATCTAAAAGTGTTTTAGATTGCTAAAATAGCTAAAAATCTATTTGTATTGGAAGAATAAAAGTGTAAAACTTTCTAAATTCTCCAGTGGATTAACCACAGCGTAAAAAAAAAAAAACAAACCCCACCCCAACAAAAAAACCCACTAGCCACACACAAAAGCCCCAAAGGCTGACTGTGTTGAAGGCCCCTGGATGATTTCGTGCAGTGCCAGCTCCATGTAACTCTGCCCTTTGGGCACTGGTTTCGTTGATCAGCGGGTTAGAGGCCGATACACCTGTCGGTGTGCCCAGAAGCCAGTACTGCGACAGCTCTCGTCGTGCTCGTAGCCACTTGCTGTATGGAATGTTGTTTTGTAGGATGGGAAGAGAGAGAAGTATGACAAGGAAAAATTACGTACTGGTAATTGTGTTTGTCGTTACCGTTCTACTTTTCCCATCCTACCTTCTTCCAGTCATCTCTTACAAAAATCTTTGTCTTTTCTACACGTGTTTATGAATCTCTTCTAAGTCAGTTGCGTTTTGGTCTGCCTTATCAATGCCTGGTTAGGCCTGGCTATTTACACCTCCTGTGATTCAGCATGTTTGCCTGCTAGCTCCCTGATAGGTGGAACTGTAATTTTTGCTGTGTGGAATCTTGTCTTATAGGGTTTTTATAGAAGAAGAAGGTCTACTACAACCATAATTACTGGTATGTAAGTTTCCCTTTTCTTTCATAAAAGGAAAAATGAGAGTTTGAGTGATCTCCTAATACTTTAGGTAGCTAAGATTTCTCAGAAAGGAAGGTATGTCCTAGAATAAAAAGATCAGCCAAAAGACTAAAGTCAAATAATATCTAATAGAAATGCATAAAAATCTGAAATGAAAAAAAAAAAAATTAAACCAATCTTGCTGTTGCCATGCAAATATAAATAATTTCATACTTCCAACTGAGGATTTTCGCCTTTTTTTTCCCCTCTCGGACACCAGTATTTTATCCTCATATTTTTAAATGCATAGAAGAAAAGATAAAGAAGTTGGAATAGTTCTTCCTTCTAACTGTCTTTCCTGACTTTTTAAAATCCCTCTTGAATTTCATCTCTTTTAAACAGTTACACAATAAAATTCATGTGAGACAAACAGAAATTCTCTTCAGAACTGAATAAGAGGCTTATGGGGTTTTATAACCTGAATTTTTCTTCTTGACTAATGGCAATAAGTATTGAGAAAATGCAATGTCATATTAGAACAGAAGAGCTAATTTGAATCTAAAATGTGTGATTTACTTCCAGTCACACAGGAGGAAAGATATGTTTGTGCTACAGACATACTCCATAATTTCACCCCTTGTCGTGTGTTTCAAGGCTTAGAATAATTCATGCCAAGAAAACTGGCAAAAGAGACGCTACAGGAGGTGGTGATGTAGGAGAGGAACAGCCGTCTCCGGAAACACCGACACCGGGCCGCAAGCGCAGACGGAAGGCGGGGGACAGTGATTACGATGATGATGACGATGACGACAGTGATGAGCAGGCAGATGAGGATGATGAGGATGAAGAGGACAAAGACGATAAAAAAGGAAAGAAGGCAGAAGCTTGTGAGGATGAGGTGGGGGATTTTAAGTATAGTGAAACGTAATTAATTAATTAATTAAAACTTGTTTTCCTTCTGTTTCTCTGCAGTATGGCACTGCGTCCCCAAAATCAAACAGTAAAAAGGAAGGAAGAATAATTTACCTCCAATATTTTGAAATTTTTGGAATAAGTTTATTTTCTAGAGTATTTTTGTCTTTTATTTGATAGCTATTATAGTGTGGGTTGTTGTTGGTGGTGTTTTGTTTGATTTGTTTTGGTTTAGGCTTAGTTGGTTTTTTCCTGCTTACTTGTTTTGACTTAGTCTTAATTTCTCTGAAATTCTGAAAGCTCGAACTGGATCCAGAGAACTGCAGCTTTATTAGCAAACTGTAGTTTTCTCTTAGAGGAGAATAAAGGTCATTTATTAGTTCACAAAATAATAAAAGAAGTGTAAAGTTATGTTTAACGTTATCTGTTACAAAGCTTACTTGTGACCTTCCTGTGTATTTTTTTCCGTAACTTTTCTAGGGTAGTCACTGCCTGACTGTTTTTGATCACAAGGTGATAGATTTTACTTATCAGATGAGATACAGGAAGGATCACTGAAGCGTTTTTAGCTTGTTTAGCTGAATTGCATCTACAATATTCAAAAGACTTTTTAATAGAAGTGCCACAGGGCTGTAGGATTCACTGTAGAACTCCAGGATTCTCTACTGGATGGAAGCTGGTAAAAGAGACAAGCAATATGAAATACTACATCTAAGTGCACTGGGGTGTCGTGCTGTTTGTCAGAAAATCCATTTATGCAGTTATTGAAGTTCAGTGTCAGGTTTTGTGGGTGCTTTGGATACGGCTGCTTGAACAATGCACGTGTACAACATGGTATGGGAACTCAAGTCTTTCACACGCTTTTCTTCAGAAACCCAACCAGTTCCTAAGGTAGGAACAGCCCTTTGTGCTGTTAGTCTGGATTTATTTCAAGTTCTGTAGTGTGTATGAATTGAAGAGAATACCTTAGATGCATAGCACAAAGTTCTTAAAATTAATACTTCAGAATAAAGTAATGTTTAGGTATCTAATCTCACATCCATCCCTTAATCTTTTCCCTTTAGTACCATCTCCTATTTTGGTGCACTGGGCCTTTCATGTAACTGTAATTTCCAAGTCCTGTAACTCCTGTAGACAGAAGAGTTTTTTGGTGTAACAGAAATTCCCGTGTGTTCGTGCTGTATGTGGTGTTTCAGAAGGCTTCACTCTAGTACGCTTTTACAGAGCCAAGAAATACAAGACCAGTATCTTACTGTGCAGGTGACTGGGAACTCCCGGCGTTTTGTTTGTATTCTTCTGGAAACTTACTGTTGTCCCCAAAGACTTTCTTGAACTAAATTAAAACTCTTTTTATGGAAATGACTCTCGTTTTTAAACTGTCAAGCAGAAGGGAATCATAGACTTAGTCATGGATGTTTTCCTCTTCAAAAAGCAGCAAGATTAGTACTGGAACTTTTTTAGCAGAGTTGTAATTTAAAGTGGCTCTATAATTTATTGTAGACACTGAAATAAAACACAAGTGTGCACAGACCAAAGGCTGATTGATAAGATGTTGACAGATTCCATTATTTCATTCATGAAAAACACTTACGAAATGAATTTGAGTATCCAAAAAGCTTTATAGAAACTAAAATTTAATTCTGTAGTCTCAAGTGTTCATGCACAAACTGAATTATTTCTTTCAGTAAAAGAATATTTTCAGCAAACATTGGCCATGAACTTTCTCCTTTGTATGTGCCTGGAAACATTCAAGATGCATTTTTTTCCGTTTACATTGTTCCTAGTCAGAAATATTGAACAAGCACAAAATTCGGAGCTTTTTACGCTTAGAATTTGCCTCTCCTTTTCTAATACACCTTTTATTGTAATATTAGTAAGACATTGTAGTATCATTTTTATCCTGAAATAAATTTGTCGTGACAGTATGTTTGATGATTATAGGATGATGGGGACCAGACAGTGAGTGTTGAAGAACTAGAGAAGCAGATTGAAAAACTGACAAAGGTGAGAGGTCATTTGTCTTTATTATACTACAAATTTGATCACTGGATGTCGTGAGTTAGAATGTTAACCATCGCTTTCAATGCTCCAGCTTAATATAAATTGAAATAAGGATCAGTTTTTATTCCATGAAAATGTGCATGATGTTAGTGTTCATGACACCTGAATTGTGATTTTGGTCCAGCCGTACTAAGTGGGTATGACTCAAAAGACAGTTAAAAAGCTGCTGATAATATATTCATACATCTCTGAATAAAAAGTAATACAATTTTTTGTTCAGACCTAATTGATCTACTTCTGTTCATTGATACTAGAAAGTGATGAGAGGGTGTACAAGAGGCAATGACTTTTCCATTATACAAATAATTGCAGTTCTGCTTTCTGCAGCAGTGTTCCAAGCCAGTACAGAGAGCTGTCTTTGCTTTGGATTTTGAAAGAAGAAACAACGGCATAGGAAGAGAAACATAAATGAGATAGAATGCTATAGATAGGGGCACTCATGGCCTATGTTTTCGTTCTTCCTATTGGAAAAACTGTCATTTAAGACTTTGTCTGTTGGTATCTCTCGTATTCCAAATTGTAGTAAATTGACAGTCCAGAATTACACCTGCCTTCCAGCAGTGTCAATTTAGCAGAGCAAGAATTGATTAAACAAACGGAGATTCTTTTTGGCCCCCCTCAGAGAACTGTTTGTATTTGAATACAGAATTTGTTTTCAAACATTATTGTTCTCATTTTTTTATGAACCACTTAAAATACCATATTAGTTTCCCATCAGGAGCTGCAGTATCTGCCAGCTTCAGCGCTGTTTACCATTAGCTCTTGTTGTATAAATGAGAAGATTTCAGCTGTTCTTGCGCAATGAAGTCTTTGTTCCTGTTGTCCTTTGAGAGTCGGTGTTAAAAAGGCAGGACCTACCATTGCAAAATGTGTTTTTATAGCAAGATGGATAAACTTAGGCTGAACCAAGAAGTGATTGAATTGATTTTTTTTTTAAAGGGAACTCTGTAAGTAAAATCATCAAGGCAGCAATTGTGAGTAGAATAATCGCATAACGCACACACACAAAATCTCTAAGAAGGCCTCCTTGTGTGACCCCTCAACTTCTGCTCAGTCTGGCAGCCAGCAGATGTTTTCTGTTACAACAGATTTTTTCCCCAATTGATTTGTAATGCTTTCCCTTTTTAAAACAGCAACAAAGCCAGTACAGAAAGAAGTTATTTGAAGCTTCGCACTGTTTGCGTTCAATGATGTTTGGTCAAGATCGTTACAGGCGCCGATACTGGATTCTGCCCCAGTGTGGTGGCGTTTTCGTAGAAGGCATGGAAAGTGGTGAAGGTAAGAACCATAAAGGAACAATGTGACAAGGCATACTGTGCAAGACACAATGCCCATCTCTGTAGGCTGTAATTTTGTGCAGCAAGGTCTTTAAGCTTCACCTTCAACCAGGGGCTGCAGAGGCTACTGTCTGGTTGTTAAATACCAGTTAATACTTTCAAAGTGAGAATTCATACATTGGAAGTTTTCCGTTGTTACAGTGCTGTATGTTGTGCTTTTTCATATATATCTACGTGGGATGTTTTTTGGCTCTATATTATTTCACATTTCCCTATGGCAGTGAGCTCTGCAGATGAAAACGAGGATGACCTCAGAATGCATCTTCAGTTGTTATATTTTGTGCCAATGCACAGACTGTTCTGTGCTTGAAGATTTGATATATGTCTGCAAAAATAAGAACAGGATTTTCACACAGTGAAGTACTGTGTTTTCTAATTAACAATATGATTTAGTCTGTGTGTTTTACCAACTGTGATCTTTCTTTTAGTCCAACAGATGCCGAAGTTTTCCCCCTCAAAAAAAAAACCCGCCCAGATACACATCGAAATTGCGTGATCTCATGAGAATTGCATGATTCTAGAGACTATTTAATTAAAACAACTGTAACATTAGAGCATGATACGAAATGTGAGGCTTGTTTTGGTCTAAAATAAGTGGTAGAACTTTTCCTAAGTCTAATCTTGATCTCGAAGTTACCTTTCTAAAATATTCAAGGATCACCTCCTCCAAGCTCGGGAGCGGTGCATCCCAACAAAGAGAAAGTTGGGCAACATGGAGTGGTTGGATGGACCACCCAATGGATAAGGAATTGGCTGGATGGCCACACTCAAAGAGTTGCGGTCAATGTCTCCATTCCAAGGGACGGCCAGTGACGAGTGGTGTTCCTCAGGGGTCAGTACTGGGACCAGTGCTATTTAACATCTTTGTCGGCGACATGGACAGTGGGATCGAGTGCACCCTCAGCAAGTTTGTAGATGACACCAACTGTGTGGTGTGGTGGACACAGTGGAGGGAAGGGATGCCATCCAGAGGGACCTTGACAGGCTGGAGGTGGGCCTGTGAGAACCTCATGAAGTTCAGCAAGGCCAAGTGCAAGGTCCTGCACGTGGGTCGGGGCAATCCCATGCACAAGTACGGGCTGGGCGGAGAGTGGATTGAGAGCAGCCCTGAGGAAAAGGACTTGGGAGTGCTGGTGGATGAGAAGCTCAACATGAGCCGGCAATGTGCGCTGGCAGCCCAGAAAGCCAACCGTGTCCTGGGCTGCATCCAGAGCAGCGTGGGCAGCAGGTCGAGGGAGAGGATTCTGCCCCTCTATTCTGCTCTCATGAGACTCCACCTGGAATACTGTGTTCAGCTCTGGGGTCCCCAGCATCCCCAACAGCTCCATCTAACACGGAGCTGTTAGAGCGGGTCCAGAGGAGGGCCACAGAGATGATCTGAGGTCTGGAGCACCTCTGCTATGGAGACAGGCTGAGAGAGTTGGGGCTGTTCAGCCTGGAGAAGAGAAGCCTCCGGGGTGGTCTTTTTGCCGCCTTCCAGTACCTAAAGGGGCTACAGGGAAGCTGGAGAGGGACTTTTTACAAGGGCGTGTAGTGACAGGACACGGGGCAATGGCTTTAAACTGGAAGAGAGGAGATTTCGATTAGATCTAAGGAAGAACATTTTCCCTCTGAGGGTGGTGAGGCACTGGCACAGGTTGCCCAGAGAAGCTGTGGCTGCCCCATCCCTGGAAGTGTTCCAGGCCAGGCTGGATGGGGCTTTGAGCAACCTGGTGTAGTGGAGGGTGTCCCTGCCCATGGCAGGGGGGTTGGAACTGGATGGTCTTTGAGGTCCCTTCCAACCCAAACCATTCTATGACTCTATGATCCTATGAAATGGGTAGCATAAAAAATAATTTTTGTGTCTCTTGTTGTGGGGGATATTTTATGCTGTGTGTTAGGAACTGTTTTGCACATGAGTAGCTGGATGCGGAATGTAACTGTTGTATGCTGTACTGCTTGTGTTCCTTTGGTTCACTATATTTTATTATATTTTAACCAGATGAGTCTCCAAATGCTTTGGAATTGTATTCAAACCAAAATCTTTGAAATATACCTACTTGTCTTAAGATAGCAAACCAAACAAATAAACACAACAAAAGTTTTAGCCAAGAATTGTAGAGCAGACTATTTTTTAATATATTGTCTTAATGAAAGGTTAGTCTCTTTGAATAGCAAAATGGACATGTTCTTAAGTTCTCAACTACTCCCTTTTCCCTTCAGCTCTTAGTTTGTCCTGTTTCAGTAAATTCTACGGTTTATTCACTCCTAATTCCTTTATCTAAACATTGCAAACGTGAGACAAAAACTGTTGAATGGTCTGTCCATTTAAAAAATACTTTGTCCCTCTTCGTGTAGTCATTTTATGTCTTATGCTGATACTCAGATCGTTTAAATCATGACATACGCTGTAACTGTGGACACGTTAGTTGGAATATTGGATTTTCTATCTTGTCCCCCTTTTCCTGATGTTTTTCCATCCCATTTTACACTTTTTAAGACTAAAGTTATAAGGATAGAAGAGAAATGGTTAAGAATGACTAGGAGAGCAAAGAAGACAGAAAAATGTTTTTCCTTTTCTTCCACACCTCTTATACTTGAAGAAACTGGCTTTTGCAATCAACTTCTGCTTCTTGTACTTTACACTGCTTACACGTTACAGTCTGATGGCATCTGTCTGCTTAGCTGTGCATGGAGTCCTGGTCATGTTGGGTGGCTCTTGAAAGAGTTTCAAAGTTTCAAGAACGTTGACATTGTTTCACAGTCAAAGTTGTTAATGATTTTTATTAAAGGAGATAAAATATTTAATGTTGTGTTCCAATGTGGGGGGAATGTTTGATTTCACAACAGGAATTTTGATCCTTCTTTTCATAGTTGGCTGCGAGTTTAATGAAATGGTCCTTTGTGAAAATAAGCTTTATGGCTGTAAGCATTGTACCCTCTTGATATAAACAGAGGACTGTTTTGACAAAGCGTGGAGAATCTTGCAAACAGAAAGCTGCCATAAATTTGTCCCTTTCAAAGACTTCGCCCCGGCAAACTGCTTCAGACTTACATGCAGCTTAAGGGAGAATGCTATAGCTATGTTAGCAGTGTTAAGGTTATTCTTCCTGCAGGTGTTCAGCAGGGTTTAAATCTGTGTGTGCGTTGAAGCTTTTTTCCTTCTGCAAAGTGTTGCTTGAAGTGAGAAGTGATTTCATTTAAAAAAAAAAAAGAAAGAAAAGAAAAAATTGTGATCTAGCGTGTGTTGAGCAAGTAATTTTTTATTTAACTATGATGATAAAAATGGTCTAAATTAGTTGGTCTGTTATATTTCATCCCTTGTTCTTGTAAATTTTTAGGCCTTGAAGAAATTGCAAAGGAAAAAGAAAAGTTAAGAAAGGTAGAAAGCATGTGCATCAAAGAAGAAGAATTTGAGACAGAAGAAAAATTACACTGTTTGAATACAACTCACTGTGAGCAAAAGGAAGATCTGAAAGAAAAAGACAGCACTAATTTGTTTTTGCAAAAGCCTGGGTCATTTTCAAAACTAAGCAAACTGTTAGAGGTAGCAAAAATGCCACCTGAGTGTGATATTTTGTCCCCAAAACCTAATGGCAGCGCGGCAAATGGCTGCACGTTATCTTACCCAAGTAACTCAAAAAACTCGCTCTGCAGCCTCCAGCCCACTGTGTCACAAAGCACCATTGACAAGTCTGATTCTAATAATCTTTTCAGTCCTAATGCAAGTGGGACAGGAAAGTTTTACAGCTCTCCACTAATTCCAAATGATCAGTTGTTAAAGACTCTCACTGAAAAGGGCAGGCAGTGGTTCAGCCTGTTACCGAGAACGCCGTGTGATGACACGTCAGTTACCCATACGGATACACCAGCGACTGCAGCATCACTTACTCCTCAGTCACATCCACCGTCGAAGTCACCTTCACCCGTTCCATCACCTCTTCTGAGCTCAACCTCTGCACAGAGTCCCATGGGATTGAGTCCTTTTGCATTGTCACCACTGCAGGTGAAGCAATTAATTTTCCAATAGTCCGAATTTGCTGTACTTATTTGGGCAGAATTTCTGTTTAGACAAATTGTTTCACAGAAGTGCTATCATTTGATCTTCCTTTTTTTTTTTTCTGTTTCTAAATGTTAATAGCTAATTCCATTTTGCAGTTGTTTGATAATACTAGATATTTCTTAATAAAAAAGATTTAGGTAAAATTAGGTAAGCCAATGTATGATATTTTGTACGTGTATTTCAGTAATTTAATTTGGCTTTCAGGAGATTGGTCACTGACATGAAATGAAAAGGAAATAAATAAATAAACTAGTTTTCAGAAAAGTGGCACATCACACTTGTCCCTTTAAAAGCTAGGATTTTTTAAGCATTAACAGGGCCGTAATGAGTATTACACATTAGTTTTATATTAGTTTTTCTTAAACTAATCAAAGTACTGAGTAAAGGCCTCCATTATGTTTTGATTATCATTTGACAAAACAGCATCTTACTCATAATTTGGGTTTCTTGGTAATAATTAATAATAGTAGTTGTGATTGTGTTAACAATGTATTCCATGTGGCAGATGAAGACTGGACTGCCTATAATGGGACTTCAGTTTTGTGGATGGCCTACAGGAGTTCTTACTTCAAATGTTCCATTTTCGTCTCCTTTACCTGCTCTTGGATCAGGTTTGGGATTGTCGGAAGTGAATGGTAACTCATTCTTGGCCTCTAATGTTCCTGCAAGTAAAAGTGAATCACCAGCACTGCAGACTGAAAAAACAGCTTCTGCCCATTCTGCAGCAGTTGAAGTAGCCAAGCCAGTAGATTTTCCTAACCCAAAACCTATACCAGAAGGTAAGTACAGTACAATTAGATGGAACTATGTGAAGGATAACTTCTACACTGCCACTATAGTGTTACAATTTATATTTTTTTATAATTTGCCTATTGAATTTGACTAGATGATTTCTCTAATCTGATTGTGTGTGATCACATAAAAAAAACGCCTGAAAAGTGTTTCTGTGCTTGTCTTGAATTAGAAATGCGGTATGGGTGGTGGAGGATTACTGATCCGGAGGACCTAAAATCTTTGCTTAAAGTGCTGCATCTCAGGGGAATAAGAGAAAAGGCCTTACAAAAGCAAATACAGAAACACATGGATTACATCACTCTGGCCTGCATCAAAAATAAGGATGGTATGTAACTGATACTTACGTTACACGTGGTGTCGGGGCGTAAGCCGACTGGCATGGAGCTCTTTCAGATGTGTTTAGATACAGAGCTAGAGGAGCTGCTGGAGGAAAAAGGTAAAGGTCTCATTGTAGTTGCCTTTTCACCAGCCCTGTTCTGGAAAGTTACAGGATGGGAGAAATCCTGTTTGATACAAGTTCCTCTCGTGGCGTACGTGCTGGTAACCTTTCTGAGTGCTTTCCCTCTCTGTAACACTCTAGCTCAGTCTCTCCTTCCCTTCCTTGCCTTTAAATTGCAAGGTTGCAAACCTACAGAGTTTATTGTCTGTATTGGATATCTTAAGAGTAGTACACTTTTACAATGTTTGCTTCAACATTTGACTGGAGTGACAGGTAAATCAGCTTGAATTTACTCAGAGAAGTTATTATACTAATTAAAATAATAAAAATGTGATTCTCAAATACAGTTGCAATTATTGATATCAATGAAAATGAAGATAACCAGGTAACTCGAGATGTTGTGGAGAACTGGTCGGTAGAAGAACAAGCAATGGAGATGGATCTTGCTATTCTTCAGCAGGTGGAAGATCTAGAGAGGAGAGTTGCATCAGCTAGTTTACAAGTTAAGGTAAAACCAACTTTTAGTAAAACGTCTCTTTAAAATAAGTGGTAAGAATTTAAATTAGATAGTAGCAGTCCTTTTGCTGTTGGTAAGTGCCTTCTTATTCCATCTCTAATTGTTTGCAAATAAAACGAATCCACTGCCGTCGTATCATGGATATTTGCATTTGAAACATTTTGTTCAGTTAATCTTCAGCTGAAGGTGCTCAGACTGGCAGCTCCTGGAGAGCGTTCTTGTACGGTGTGCAGCTCCCTGCACGTGTTGTTAACCGTCTATGAATGCAAAGATGTCATTGCATGTAGGCTGTTGGATTTTAGGGTGTTTTGCTGCGGTTCTGCCCGGTTTGGGTGGTTTTTGCTGTAATGCTTTCAGAAAAGCCTACAAGTGCATCGTAATACTTCGCTTGAGTATTGTAGAGTCAGGGAGAACATGTGATGGTTGTGAGTGTGAAAGAGTTGAGAATTCACTGACTGTCATTACAGTTTGGAATGTCTCCAAGGTGGGTGGAAGGATATCAAATTGCATGTGTCTGGTTATAGTACAGATGTAGTACTCGGGATCTAGTTTGTTCTAGGGGTGGATGTTATTTCTGCGTGACCAATTGATACGGCCTCCTGAGCCCGTTGGGCAGATAGACCTATTCTGATGTTTCGACCGATAGAACAGGATACGTCAAAAGGAGATGAGAATGCAGACTGTTGCAGAAAGGTCCCTTCAGAAAGTCTGGTAATGCTTGTATTTTTTGATTAATTGTTTTAGTTCTCTGGATATTTTGGAAACTGTCTCTACAGATGGATTACAAGTAACCAAGATCTACTGGAAACAGCGCTTCAGTTACTTAGTTCGATTCCATAAAACAGTTCCTCTGTGTACACACAAAGTTAACAGCAACCAATAAATGCACAAACCTTTCTATTAACATAGGGCTGGCTGTGTCCTGAACCTGCATCAGAGAGAGACGACTTGGTATATCGTGACCATAAGTCAATTACTAGATTGCACAAGAAGCACGATGGAGATTGTGCTGGAGGCGGAGAAGGCAGTGCCAGCTCTCTAGAGCGGAAGAGTGACAACCCTCTAGATATAGCTGTAACCAGGCTTGCTGACTTGGAGCGGAACATAGAGCGAAGGTATCTGAAGAGCCCCTTAAGTACCACCATTCAGATCAAACTGGATAATGTGGGCACAGTTACTGTCCCTGCTCCTGCACCATCCATTAGTGGTGATGGTGACGGGTAGGTTATTGAGATTAACTTGAAAAATTATTGTGCTTCTTTGCTAATTGGAGCCTATTTTCTTATTGCCTGTTATCTATGTACTTTCTTGTATGTCTGTGATCCGTATGGATCATGTTATTCTGCATGGTGCTTTGTAAAGATATTTTTTGTTACGTTTGTTGATAATCTTGCAAAGTTATCTTACATTTAACTGGTTGTGACTAAGCTTTGAGGCACGTAGCCACAGTCTGTGCACTACATGAAATTTAGTTGCTTAAACCTTACACTTACTGGCTGTGTACGTTTTGTCATTGCTTGGCTTTCAATGTGATAATGATTGTTCCACGTTTAAACATAAGCAAACACGGATGTGACCTACTTAATATCTCTGTATTTCAATGCAGAACTGAAGAGGATATTGCTCCAGGCCTAAGGGTATGGAGAAGGGCATTGTCAGAAGCGCGCAGTGGTGCACAGGTAGCTCTGTGCATTCAGCAGTTACAGAAATCAATAGCATGGGAAAAATCTATTATGAAAGTTGTAAGTGTTTTTAATTTTTTTTAAAAAAATACTGTAACTGAACTATTTTTGCTATATCCTATTTTCCCACTTTAGGCATTTTAAGATACCATGGTTAATAATGCATTTCTTATTACTGCGTGTAAAACTTCATACAGTTAAACTGTTCATTGTGCCCGGATAAATATAAGCCTAAATGAAAAGATTGTCCCTTGCTTTGCAAATTCAGCATCCTGAACTTTCTAAGATAAAAAGGCCCTGTAAGTGGTTGCTCTATTTAAGATGGTAATTACTCTTTGTTGTTAACATTTAGGTCAAAGAGAGTCATTTCTGGCTCCATCTGATGTGAGGTACTCTATCTGATGGAGTATTTCTGATCTCATCCGTGACATAAGCTTTATGGAGGTTCAACGTCATGTATCCCAATTAAGGGCTTCATTTTTCAGAAAGTTGAGATGCTCTAAACGTGTGGCTTTTTGCATGCACACTTCTCGCAACTGAACGTACAAATTGGGCAAGTGTGTGAGCAAATGGGCTGAAATACCTGTTTCCTTCTACACTTAACAAGTAGATCTGTGTTAACTGCATATACAAAGCAGGCATGCAAAATGCATGTGTCAAAATTTGCATGGACCCTTGAACCTCAAATTTCTGAAAACAAAACTGTTACTACAGCAATAGTGATTATGATGTGATTAAGAGTGGCCAGCGCTATGGTGGTGGGTGGCAAAAGGGTTTCTTCCATTACTAGCCTCTTCCCTATTGTTTTTGATTGTGCCAGTCCTATATGGATTCTGATTACATCTGGACAATTAAAGGATGAACTAAATAAAAACTATAGTGTAAGGCTGCACCTTTGAGTTTATATAGCTATAAGTTTAAAGCTGTATCTTGAGAGCAAAAAGTTTATGAATTTAGTAGGAGTACACGAAAAGGTTTAGTAAGTTATTAACCAGAAAAAACGTATTACATCATTCTCAATTTGATTGAATTGTTCTATGCACTTAATTACACAGTAAATGTAAGTATTTGGTGAAAACGTGGAGATCTTTAAGTTCCTGAAAAAGAAGTCCAGATATAGAAGAGTATCAAAATCGCACAATGTATGTGAGATAATGGACAATACATGAAGTGTTTTTAAGTTAGTGTGAATTTCAGGAAGTGCTAGGGTCATTTGTTTTGCTTTACTGAATTTGTTCGTGGTGGCCTTTTGATAAGATCCTTACTGATTATTTATTATTTGAACATCCTGTCATAAAATATAAATTATTTTTATGACATAGCAACTTACATATGCAATATTGGCATAAAGGATGAGAAGATTCCTGAGATAGTATGTGTGGGGCAAGTGATTTTGCTGGGTTAAGATTTCTTTACTTCTCATGGACATCAATGAAGTATAAAAAGTATTCATAGTTTTGTGTGCTGTAGGAAGCCTATCTTAAAACGAAATCCTTCCAAACGTGTTCCCAGATGTAGCCTTTAGATCAGTTCCTCACGTGTGGCATATATTCGTTTAGAAACGTGGTCGTTAGTAGGCTCTGATTGTGGTAAAATGAAAGGAAAATAATTTTGAGAGTGGATTTGTGGGGAGGGGTGATTGAAGTGCCATTCCTGCGTCTCACATTTTCAACACGGAATTAAGGCCCCGTTCCGTGTGTTGTAGTACTGCCAGATCTGCCGCAAGGGCGATAACGAGGAGCTGCTGCTGCTGTGCGACGGCTGCGACAAGGGCTGCCACACCTACTGCCACCGGCCCAAGATCGCCGCCATTCCGGACGGCGACTGGTTCTGCCCTGCCTGCATCTTCAAGGCCAGGTTGGATGAGGCCCTGAGCAACCTGATCTAGTTGGAGATATCCCGGTTCCTTGCAGGGGGGTTGGACTAGATGACCTTTGAAGGTCCCTTCCAGCCCTAACCATTCTATGATTCTATGATTCTATGATTAATAGTTTTATTTAACTTGGGGTTTAGTGGCTGTAAAGGCTACAGTTTTATTTATTTTATTCTATCTTTCTAAATGCGAGTAGGTACAGAACTTTCTGATTCAATACTGGAGTTTTTTATTTCTGTTTCAGAATTTTTTCAGTATTTGTTTTTCGAGCTTCATTGTTAAGTGTTGACAGACCATGTTTTAGATTCTGTTTGAAAAGAAAAATCAGAGAAAATAGTAAATATTTTTTGTCATTTTTGTACGACATACTTTAGTTTTACTTTTTTGATACACAGTGCATTTGATAAAGAGGATATGTATGTTTCCTGTGTGAGATTTGTCATCTTTTTTTTTTTCCTTCCCTCCCAAGAAAAATAGTCTAAGTAGAACTTTAGGATAGTTCTATTCAAATGACCGAATTAGCAGTTAGTGTTGTTTAAAAGTCCACAATTTTCCCATTGCTACTTAGTCCTAAAATTAAATGCCTTTTTTGCTAAACTTTTTAGTTAGGTTTTCTACTATTACCTGTGAATACTGTAACTGAAGAAGTAGCTTTACACTAAGTCCTCAATTTGGTGTTTTCTCTGGGTGTTGTCAATGTGATCCTTTTTTCTGTGCATCTTTCACAAAGTAATAAGGAAGACAAATTGTTTTTTAAACCATTTTGTGCAACAGAAGTAATAAAAAGAGGGTACTGTGAAGAACTGATTGTGTAGTAGTTTATAAGGGGTTAACTAATGCTGTAACTTTTTCTGTCATTATCATGGTTATATTACAGCTTACCTTGTTATAAAGATGGAAATTACCCTATCATGCTATTATTTATTCTATCACTTCTCCTGATATTCCGTCTCCCCAATAACTACTGGGTTTAGTATTAACAGGAAAATGTGTTTTTTTTTCCTCAGTTTTTTTTTTGTCCCAAATTTGCCTGAAAGCTGAAGGTTTAAAGGTGCCAAGATTTTAAGGTGAAATTCCAGCAGAACTTTAAAACATGTTGAATATTGATTCAAAATTCTGCAATACATGGAAACAGTTTTGTTGATGACTAGGTATAAACTATACTACCCTAATTTAACTGAACTTTTTTTTTCTTGTCTAAAACAAGGAAAACATCAACATCTGCCATTCCCATCTACTTGGAATTAATATTCAGAGAACTTCTCAAAGTCAGGCATTAGGTGATGACAGTTGATCTGTTCTCATTGTCTTACATTGTGTTTTTAACCAAATGGCTGGAAATCAACATTCCACTTCAGTTGCCACGTGGTGTACTCGCATTACTGGGCCTGGACCATACTGGCGCAGGCATTGGCACGTACTTGACTGTTTCTCTGTGCTTGGGCCAATAACATAGGCATGATACAGAGCACAGTTATTTAGAAATCTTCCTAGTGTTCTGTGTTAAGCAAAAGGAATTCGATACACTACGTACATTTTTTCTGCATTCATGCATTCGTTCACCATCTGGTTTGTACAAACCGACTACGTGTTTCTCCATGCTAGTTACAATCAGTGCCAAATGCTTAAGGAAGTTATGACAGTCGTGAAATGGAGGAATTGTGTAGTGATGGTTTCTAGTAGGTAGTGAAGTCTGCATATTCTTAACTCTGAAAAAATACATTATAAAATCCAGGTTTAGACAGCTTTAAAACCAAATAGTATTTTGATAAGAGAATACAAAATAGAAATGTTACACTTTAAAATTTGTTCACACTATCTAAAGCAGTCTCAGTAGCACAGGCAGAGTTTAGTGCTTTTGATGCTGCCTCTCTTTCTTCATGAAAATTGTTTTCTGTCGTTTCGTTCTTTGACTGTCAGTGGGTCTTTTCAATGGCATCATGTGCTTGACTTGACATTCTGCAAAGTTCCTGTTCTAATGATCAGAATGATGACTTCAAATACTGTGCCACATTACGATGCTGTCAATACCCATAACAACTTAGTGTTTTCATCTTAAATCTACTCCTTCGTTTCATCTGTCTATAAATAGTTCTGTATTAAATAATGTTCTTTTTTCCCACTTTGTAGCATTCTTGGGTTGTCATGCTCCTTTTATGTTCTGTAGTTGTCTTGTAGCCAAGCTGTGTTTTTCATAGCTAGCTTTTTATCTTTAAATCCGTTGATCCCGTCCCTGACTTTTTAAAAACTCTTTTCCAGTTTTCCGTATCTTGCAATTAATATTGTTGCTTGAAAGTCAATATGCTATTCCATCTGTGGTTGTATCAGGCTTTTAGGAGTAGACAGATATTTGTCTGAAACTATGCCAAACTATGGTTTGTTAGAAGGTACTGTTTTACCAGTCTGAAGGTCAGGTGCTTTGATACTGTCGCAAGTTGAGAACCTAAATCACTAGTAACAGGAATTTCGACAGCCTTACTTGCCTTTAGAGAAAGCAAAAAGTGAATAATTTCTGATACTTAATATTTCAGTTGTTTTGGTGCTTATTTGAACTTCATTGCTGTCTATCAATAATAACGGGTTTCTGTAATTTCTTGGTTATTGCTTATTTCAGTTCTCTGTATTGTAGGCAAGTGGTCAAACTTTAAAAATAAAAAAACTTCAAATCAAAGGGAAGAAAAATAATGAACAAAAGAGAAGCAGGAAATTAGCAGGAGATACAGAGGAGGAAGACTCTGCAACTACAAGCACCTCCGTAAAAAGAGGAAAAACGGACCCTAAAAAAAGAAAAATGGATGAAAATGTTTCTGTAAGCCAATTAAAGCAAGAAAATTTCACTGCTATTAAGAAACCTAAAAGAGATGACTCCAAGGACCTGGCTATATGCAGGTAAAGTGACAAATTGTGCACTTGGGTAGGTGGTGTTGAAACAAGTAGTGCCCAATTCTTCTGATCTGTGTTCTGGGGGACAAGAACCCTATTCTTGGTCATGTATCCACACAAATATATAAAGGATTTAGTGTGTGCGTGCTGTGAGTAACTGCCGTTATTTGGGAATGAAGGCCAAGAGGACAGTACCTAATGCTAGAACGTGGTCTGTGAAATCTGCTCCTTATACCCTTCCAAGAAAGGGAGGAGCCCCGATAGCAGTGGTACGGGTGGCTAAGGTGATAGTCCACTGGGTCCGAAAGGCGTTAACGTCACAGAGACAGTTTGAAGTATTGCTGGTCCGTCAGAGTGACACGGTTCAGCTGTGTCGACGTTTTGGAAAGCCAGTATTGGCACCTGTTCTACTGATTTGCAGATGGTTTACATTGAGGTTCAAAGTATTGAAGTTGCAGGGCTGTGTTTTTCTTTTGGAATGTTGATGGCTAGAATGTCAGCTTACATAGGTTGCCTGGAGAGAACTTATTACTGTTTTCAATACTCAACTAGTTAAGACGTCTGTCTTTATCGACATTGTTCTTGGCCTTGCACAGGGCACCGAATAAAGTGCTTTCCTTCTATGAAGTGAGTAAGTTGGTGAATTTATGGAGCAGTGAAAAACCTCTGTGAATATATGAACAGCTTAAAAATATTGATTTAAAACCTTATTTTATTCAGCATGATTCTCTCAGAATTGGAAACTCATGAAGATGCCTGGCCTTTCTTACTTCCTGTAAACTTGAAACTGGTTCCTGGTTATAAGAAAGTTATTAAAAAACCTATGGACTTTTCCACCATTAGAGACAAGCTAAGTAGTGGACTGTAAGTAAAACTATTGTAAATTTTACTTTACATTTTAAAAATATTTAAACATTGAAATACAGTAATTTTTTAAAAAAATGAGTTAAACTGTTTTGAACTGCCTGCTCTGGCACCTCTGTGATTACTTTTTCAGTTAGAATAAAAATTCCTGACTCTGTACTTTTGTCTTTGCCATATCTAAGTGAAATAGCATGGCAGATGGGAGCACCGGTGGAACTGGCTGAAAAAAAATAGAACTGCCAGGTCAAACACACAGAATCCATCAACAGGAAAAACTTTTTTCCCCTCATCTTTTCTTATTGAGACATCTTAGCGTTGTTACGTGTAAGCAAGAGCCAGCTGTCTGGGCTGTAAGCTGCTGGAATCCCTGGAAATAGTGTTGTAGCCGTGGAGTGAATCGGTACCCCTGTCGTGGGAAGCCGGGTGCCATTCTGGTAATGGCGATTAATCCTTTTATGGGCCTGGAATTAGATTGCAGAACTTCTTAAAAAAGATGATGATGCTATACGCCACAGCTCCCCTTCCCTCCGTGTAACATCCTTGTGCTCTGATGACACCACCACCAAAGGTTTTGTCATCCATAAAGACTGACTGTCTTCAGTGTCTGTCAGCTCCGCATTAAGCGAGTTTCCTAGGGTAACACCAGGGGCTTTTTAACCTTTTCGGGCTTTTTCTCCCTTGAATCTGAGATTTAGATGCTCCACACATGCTCATTGGTATGGGTAAAGGTGTAACTTTTACTGTCTTTCTTTTGAATGAATCCCATGAATTAGGAACTATTTGGGCCATGTATGTTCAGGATCATGAATAACAAAGGCAACGTTACAGGATTGATCTGAGCAGCCTTTTTTTGTACCCGATTGTTTCTCTTTTAGGTAAATGCAGCTGTACTCAGCACTTACTTTGAAAGGGATTGAGCCCAAGAATAGATGAATAAATGAAAAATAGTCGTCCTGTTTTAACTAGAAAGCTATTGGAGGGAAGGGGGAAGTTAATTTAAAACAAGTTTGTTTTCCAGTACAGGCTTGAAATTCTACCTTTCAGAGTTCTTAAGGAAAAATAGTAAATACCATGATGAGTGTTTCCTTCCACTGATGTTCATTTTCTTGTTAATGTTTAAATTAGAATTAAAAACCTAAAAGTATAATTAACATGGAAAGCATTACATGATTATTCTTTGGCTGGTTGTAAAGTCACTGCTGTTAAGGTAGTTCTTTCTTGTGCAGTTGAAGTGTTTTTCCCCTTTGATGCTCCATATTGCAAAATCGTTCACCTTTTCCTTCTTTCAGGTACCCGAACCTGGAAGCGTTTTCGCTGGATGTCAGGCTTGTGTTTGACAACTGTGAAACCTTTAATGAAGATGATTCTGACATAGGCAGGGCTGGCCACAACATGAGGAAGTATTTTGAAAAAAAATGGACAGAGATGTTCAAAGTGAGCTGAAGTTAACCAGAACTCTTTTTCTTTTTATTTTTTTCCTTTTTTTTTTCTTTTTTTTTCATTAAATGAGGACTGATTAAGACCAGCAATGTGAACTGTATTTACATGAAAGTCCAAGGCACGTGGATAACTAATGACTGTTTTTTCCTTTAAAATATCACAGAGTTGTGATACTAGTTCTGAAGGCTTCACTCCTACAGCAACCATGGCCCCTTGGTTATTGGTTTGTGTGTTTTAACAAACTAATTTAGGTAGAACAGGGAAGCACACCCAAAGAATTTCAAAAAAGGGGTGTTATAGTGCAATAGCAATTTAAAATATATCAAAACGCACTGAATATTCAACCACCAGAGCTCTACTTGGGAAAATGGTTCTCTTTTCCCTTTCAATAAATATCTATTTTTCATTTTTTTACTTTGTAGTTTATTTTTTAGTGAATGTATTTAATTTTATGAATTATTTATGATTATACAGCATTCAGAATCTTCGTTTTCTGTGAAAAGGAAGAATTAGAAAATTGCTTTAAATCTTGAAAATACAACAAGGAATGTTTTAAAATATAAAACAAAGCCAAGTAAAACTGTTTACACTGATGTGCTGTAAAAGCACTAAAAATGAAACTTTACTGTAGAGTTACAAGTACATTTATATATATGTTGCTGCATCACTTGTGTAGTTAAATTGTATTTCAAGATAGTGAAGAAGAATTGAGACATGTATATACTGTTCATTATTGTTTATATTAAGTCTTGTTTTAAATATGTATGATGTGTACATATTGTTTGCAGACATTATTGTTTATGCCTTAGGAGGACGGTAGCATTTTATTTTAGTCTTAATTATAGCTATATGGCTTGTACAGTAATTATCCTCTACCAACACTGTGGAGTCTCCTTAATCTTGGTAGTGCCTGCCTTTAAAACAGGGTGTAGGGGATATTAGTTTTTTCCATTTTTCTATTTTGTTATATAATTTCAAGCCACCACGGCCTCAAACTCAAGTATAATCATTTGTATCCATGTGGAATAAAATTGTGACGATTTCCTACGCACACAGTATTTTTTCATAGAAACATTTCCCTCCATTTGCCTTGCCACAGAAATAACAGACATTTGTAACCACTGTGTTTTATCTACTGTGTGTTGTGGTGGCCTGTTGAGGCAGATAGAATTTTTTTTGTACTAATGTAAGAGTACTTGAAGTTTTATTTAAAAGAAATGTTGTGGAAAGGTAGCATTCTTTTTCTTTTCCTTTTTTAGGAGTGTTATTTTTCACTAGTATGTGTGGCACGGATACAATAAAAGACTGTTTTGCAACCCAGATTTTCTTGGCCATTTTAATACTTTGGATCCTGTGTATACAGGAATTTTTTTTAATAATATCTTGGGAGTCTTGTATTTAACATCCAGGTCTTATTGTGATGCAGCTGATTCTCCTGGTGTTTTAACAGTAGTTCAGAAAGAATGGATTGCCAAGCAGAGAGCGTGCAGGTGAGCCCTCTGTTTGAACGAGTGTAAATAACATCAGCTGCGGCCGTCCCGTACGATCATGGGGCTGCCCAGTGTTCGACCTGTTTCTGCCAGTCCTGCTGGCTGTTGTCACAGTGTGAATGCGCGGGAAAATGTCAACAGGTGCCACGTGGAATGTTTCTTAAAGACACTGTCCATGCAAGATTTTGCCCTTATTTCTGGTCTGTAGAAGGACGTGAGTCATAATCCTTGCTCTGACTGAAGAAAATAGAGGAATTGCGAATGAATATTGTGGAATCCCAGTACCTGCAGCTCCCTCACCAAGTAATGTTTTTGGGTTTTGGTGTTTTTCTTCTGGAGGGAGCTGGGGTTTTTTGCTTTTAAACTAGGCCTGCCATGTTTGAGTCTTAGAGCTTTGGTTTATGTTTGCTGTTACACTTCTTGTCTCTGCTGAGAACGAACAGTGCCTGTTTTTTAATAAAATTTTCGTTTCCATTGCCCTCCCCAGAACATCTTGTTCAATAAGGTTTTTCTTCTCTAAAGTCTATTAGAATAATTTGTGTTACCTAGAATAAAAAATTCACATTTGGGTGTCAGGCAGTCTTGCATTCTGACATTATCTCTACCACTGACTGCTTCACACCTTTCCTTTTTGTCACCTTTCTGAAGACTTCAATAAAAAGGTTAGCTGACGTGTTCCAGAGATGTGAAGACTAATCAGTGTTTTGAACATATTACGGTAGGCTTGTAAGAGTGTTTTCAGTATGCTGAAATGATTGGGAAAACTATTTATTTGATGCAAAACAACTGTTTTTTTCCTCAGATTCTGTACTGGTTCATGCTTTTAAAAGTCAAAACGATGTTACCAGATACACTACATGCATAGTAGCATTTTTTCAGCTTGTATCCTAATTCAGCTGAACAGCTGGGAAAGTTAAGGCGGTAACAGCTATTATAGCTATGACAGTGAAACAAGCAGCTCCTCTCTTAAGCTGGCATTACCAGTGTATTGCTTTGCTTACTAGCAGCCAGTGTCTTCATTACGATTTCAGTAAAATTCTTTTTTCAGGAATTACTATATTTGAATGGCAATCTTCAATCATACACATGCCATCATATAGATCAGAGATTTAACCACTAGAAAAGTGTGCTTAACGTTTCTTCTGTGCTAACTTTCTCTCCTGGTGATGCTTCTGTCTGTTTTCTTACAGGAAAAGTTTTCCGATGTGCTCTCTTCCTGTCTGAATGAAGTATGCGGGTTTTAGTTTAGAGAATTTATTAACAAGCTTTCAAACTCTTCATTTTAAAAAGTACCGCTAATGGTGCTCAGTGAAGAGTGTTTGGGTTTTGAGTGTGTGTTCTCTTTTGTCTCTTGGTATCTCTTCGAAAAAAATTGGATGGTATAAAAGCATCTGAAAATCAGAAGTTGTAGTTATCTTGGACAAAATATGTGTCTTTAAAAAGAGGTCCAAAGCTTTTTCTTACATCGTTTTATGTGATTTCTGTAGTTTCCTAATGACAATTAGAAGGGTAGAGGTGCTCTGTTAACTGTGAATGGGCATCTAAGACATCTAAGGAGCCGCCGTTTTGTATGATATGCTGAACAGGTGGCCTAGGGGACTTCTGTCATTCCTAGATGTCTTCGATTTACCAAAACATGCCTGCAAACTGAGGGCTAGTGACTGAAATCAGGAACACCACAATTATGCTATTTGATTATGTAACTCTTGTAGAACTACCGTGAACTTAGAACTTCAAAGTTAAGCAGAAATTTTTATAGCTGGTATGTATATTCAGAAAAATGAATGTGTTATCTTTTATTATGCAAATTTCTGTTGCTTATATTGTCCAAACTAACCATAATTACTAGAACAGATAGTAGCTAAATTTCTGGACGTGTTACGGATTCACAGTCTTATTTAGCAAGTAATTTCCAGATTCCCATATGTAAAATATTATGGAATAGTCTCTAAGTGTATTGGTGTGGTATTCACAATCCACACAATTTAAGTGTGTTATTCACAACTCTCTACCATCCTCTTCAGTAAGGAAGTCTCTTGACAATTGATATAGAGTTCTTTTAAGGCCATGGGGTGTTTTATTTATTAATGTATAATCTTACAGATTGCTAAATCAATGCAGCGCATATCAAGTAGACTGAATACTAGCCATCACCTAAGATTCAGAATAATTAATGGTCAGTCATCAGCCAGTGAATCAAATAGCATGCAATCAGATAGCACGTCCTGGAAAACAGAACACAAGATCATAGATTCAAACATGGAAGGTAGACCGTTTACCTAAAAGGGAGTGTTTCTTGGGCAAAGAGTTGACTCCAAGAAAGTGGTTTCGTTTTCCTCAAAACGTGTCATGATAAACCATTTATTTTCCATGAGTTGCTAAGCATGTATCGGGATGTGAAAATGGTGGTGATGTAAATTTCCTGATAGATAATGGGAGTTGTATTTGTTTGAAACCCCTTTCATTGAGCTGTTAATAGCAGGTGACTTCACAAGTTCACTTAGGCTCTGGCTCATCGTTCACCGGCGGGAGCAGCAGTCTGGAGACGAGCTCTGGCCGTGTGCTCTGAGGCAGTCACGCTGGTGCCATGTCATGACA